AACAGGAGGATTTGGAAGAGACTGTTAAGTCAGACAGCAGTGATTTTAAATCTAGGTCTCCTTGTCCTGAAGAGACAGTTTCCACTGCTTCAGTCACCTCCAGTGAGGACATAGAGGGTCCATCAAAAGCAGACCTGAGCTCTGTCCCTGGAGGATGTGGAGGAAAATGATGATGATGTCAGGAAGGACCACAACGGCGAAAAAATTTATGCAGCACCAGGGAAATCCAATAGTAGCTCATCCCTCAACACCACAAAAGGCGTTTTCAATTGCAGATGAAGCCTGAGTTCTGTCCCGGGCGTTGGGGAAGAGAGGAAAATAAATTTTTCTCTCTCTCAACAGGTCGCTGTCCCTTTCTCCACTACATGCCCAGCAAACCGGCCAAGTACGGGATCAAGTCGTGGGTGGCATGCTCAGAATCAGAATGCCACACCAAAAAATCAAGCTATGTGAACACAGAATGACTCTGTTGAACAGAATCTGTCAAGGATGGGTGATTCCAGAAATGATTAAGATTGTCAATAAAAAACATAAATGTGCTCCAGTGAGGACATCAGGGGTTCAACAAAAGCAGACCTGAGCTCTGTCCCACTGAGTTGGTGGATGTGGAGGATAATGATGTAATGGAGGACAACCTCACATGCAGACTGGAGCCATGTATGGAGGAACAGCACCACTGAACCGGAGTGAAATTCGGCTTTGAGCGCCGGATCATGCAAAGTAGACTGCCAAAAGAGTGAGCCATGGATATGTGCCACTGACAGCTCAGTGTGGGGTTGGTGGAGATCCGCCAGACCCATACACAAGAGTAGTAAACATGCATGTGTGACATTTGTGGTTTTTCTCTATAACCTTTGTTTTACTGTTTTTCAACTACGCAAATGTGATGACAGCGTGAATGTCAAAGACAAGATCACATCACTGCACATAACCCTATGAGTTGATCCGCATGTACACATTTATCCTCCAGCATGTCGGGGTGATTTAAATATTAAGTAAACATGCTGTTGTGCCTTTATCCTACCCTTACCCATAATAAGTATAACATTTTTGTTAGCGACAGAAACAGCCATATTTATCATGTCGTGAACTGGCTCAAAGTCAAGACAAGAAAGACCACACAGATAATAAAGGTTTTAAAGCAAAACAAATGTTTGTACACACATATTTGGGTATTTGCGTGGCCTACCAACCCAGACTGGGGAAAACACTGTATAAGTTAGTAGGTTAGATGTTGGTGATTATTTTTTTCATGATGCTTCTTGTGTAACTTTCTACGGACGTGCTAACGTTGTTTGAGCTAGTGTGAGAGAACTGTAGGAATGAATTTGTTTAGAAAGATTGTGTAGCTTTGACACAGCAGCTGTAGTGACCCGCTGGACTGTTTGTGAAGGCAAACCGCGACTAATCCACTCCGTTAGCATCATAGATCCACTCCGTTAGCATTATAGATCCACTCCGTTAGCATCATAGATCCACTCCGTTAGCATTATGACTTCACTCCGTTAGCATTATAGATCCACTCCGTTAGCATTATAGATCCACTCCGTTAGCATTATAGATCCACTGTAGCATTATAACTCCTCTAATATAGTCCGCTGTCGGACTTTCTGTTGTAAAATTTAGGGACCGTCAGAAACTGTGTGACTGTGAAGTCTCGTCAGAAGCCAACAAAACACTGTGTAAGTTAGTATGTTGGATGTCAGTGATTATTTTTCGTGATGCTTCTTGTGTCCCAGATAACAAAAGACATTAATTCAATGTTGGATTTTGGTCAGATTGGTTATTTTTTGTTGAGGTTGAAAAATCTATGTTGATTCAATGTTTAATTATAGTTACCATTTCAACGTTTGAAAACCTGTCGTTGAATCAATGTAACAGGTTTTCAATCATCTTTACTATAGATGATGATTTTTCTATGTTGAAATGCCCTACAGTGGATCCACATCGTTTCAATGGTGCTGATGGGGTTAGGGGAGGAGAGGGGGAACAGGGGCTCCCGAGACCAGAGAGATCTCACGAGACCAGAGAGATCTCGCGGGACTTCAGCTCAAACTGTAGCGGGAATTTGGGCACAAAACAGCAGATAAACTTCTGTGTGAGACAAACTGGTAAGTTAAGTGCTTATGGAATATGATTTAAGCAGTGGTATGTCATTGCTTATTACAATGACAGAAACAAAATGTAATTGCATGTAAGCTTTAATTTACAAGCATTTAGTTCCTCTGTCAATACATGCAAACATATAAGTCATGTGATATGTGTTGAAACGTTACAGCTCTACTCCTGTCTTGTGTTCCCTTTTAGCCTCTGGAGGAAGCTACTCAGAGGATGTTCAGTCATTTGACCAGCCTGATGGTGAGTGAACTACTTCACATTACTACCTGAGAGGAGTGGCGGGGTACCAAGAAAAGAAAAGGCAAAGAGTTAGAAGGACAAATGAGTTGAATCTTTAAAGTTACTTTGCTCTTATGTTCAGTTCATGTTGAACTGGGGTCCTATTTATAATGTTTGTGTCCCCTGGATTTTCAGGGCAAAGGTAGCCAGATAATTCATTAAGACGTTTGTTCATGTTGAACTGTGGTCCTATTAGATCACACATCTAAAAGATTTCAAATTAACAGACGTGTCCGACAAGGCTGCCCTATATCTCCCTTTTTATTTCTTTTAGTCACTGAGTTATTGTCAATCAGTATAGTAAACAATGAGAAATTTGAAGGTATCTCAATTATTTGGCAGAGAATTAAAAATCTCCCAACTGGCAGATGACACTACACTTTTAACCCTTTAAGCGCCGGGTTTTATTTTGAAAAATACTAGATTTTGACATCTAAATTTCAGGAGGCTCTGACTTGAAAGTGGTTTGAGATAGAGACAAAGTGTAAATGAGACAAATATTGAGAATGACCTAAAGTTTAAATTTCCCCATTTAATTAGCATATTATGACGTCATATGGCGACGGCCATATTGGATTATATAATTTCCATGAAATACCTGATATTTTGAAAGAGAGTTGAACTTATTTCATCGGATTCACCCCCCTCCATCTATTTGTTATGTTGTCCGCATATCAAATGTACAGGGAAAAGTAAATTGTAAGCCAACAGTCATAAACTAGAACTATTACTACCACAAAACTTATGTAAACAGTAGGCGTTTTTTATGATTTTTTACCTACTACCACCCCTCCTATTGGAGGACACTTTTCCTTTTCTTTTTTATTCTCTTCTTCATCATTATTATTATTATTATCGTCATTATTATCATCATTATAATATGATAATAATAATAACAGTAGGTGTCTTTTAGCTGCAGAGGCCTAATCTGATCTATCGAGATAAAAGTTTGTAGTATTTGTAGAGTGTGGAACCTCTCATTGCAAGGCACAGTACAGAGACAATATGAACAATATTGAGACCCCACCACATAGCCTAACAAATGGATAGGCACACCACTGCCGCATCGGATGGCCGCGCATGGACGCACTGCGACCGGCGCGGTAGAAAGAGTGAACACTAACGCTGGTCCCAGCGCTATTCTCACCACCCCCGCTACTTCTACCACATCCATTAGCTCCCCTACCGATACTACGAGTTCGTGTAGTACTCCCACCTATGTTGGGCAAAATGTCTTGTGTTTGTGCTTGTGTGTTTACCTCGCTCTGCCCGGCAGCGCCGGTGCAAAGACGCACCGTGCCTATCATGCTCACTAAACGACCGGCCGTCATCTCCCTAAGGTACATTTTCCCCTTCAGAATCAGGATCAGCGAATAGGAGACCCATCACTTCCCTAATCATCAACTTTTAGCTTGTTATTTTCGTTTATTTCGTCTCAATAACTCCTAAATCCAGCAATACCGCTTCAGCATAAATAGCGCCGTGGCGCACTATTTCTGGTTTCTCGCCCAACAATTTGGACGGGTCTTCCTCGAACATTTTGCATTGAAACATGATGTTTTTCTGAGCTAAGGTCTAAGTACGGGATGTCTGCCAACTAGTGGAGGGGAGTATGAATGAGATATAACACTCTATTAGGAGAAAACAGCTGTTTAATTCAGTACCGCGTCCTATCGCAATTTTGCGACTTTGGCTCTTAAAGGGTTAAAAAAAGTCAAGAATCAACTCTCTATTACTCTAATTATCCAATTTTCAAACGCCTCAGGTCTAAGACTTAATATGTCCAAATGTCTCCCCGACACGGTATTGTTTATGGGCTAAACCTACATAGTACAGATGCTTACAGCTGTTAGCTCACAATGACAGTACTAAAGTTCTTTGCGGGTTCACATAACTTGACCCACTAGGTTGCATGTTTCTGATGGACGAGCTAGTCTGATGCCAAACATGTGTGAGAGGTCTGACAGGACATGTTTGTTTGTTTACATCGCGTTGCGCTGCACATTATGAAACCAACATTTGGAATACCGCAGTCAAAACCCTGTCTTTCACTTTCTCTGTTGGGTCCGTGGAACGCAGTCAATACAACCAACCCTCTGACGTCGTAAGTCAGAGTGCTACAAGATGCCGGCGCCCTTGCCTCAAAAAACAAACGTGGACTTCTTTTTTCTCTAAAATGCTTACATTTGTCACTTTTATTTTACAATTATTGAGTAGAGGTTAAATCCATTTAGTAAATCAGCTTAACTTGGTTGACTGCTTCATATCCACTTTAACATAGCATTTGTTTCTCTCAATGCACAAGTGCTTCATCCCAGCGCTCCACAGAACCCTGTCCATAATTTTCTGTCAGAAAAAATGCTTTATGTACACTTACAGTTCATTAGAAAATTCTCAATAAACCCTTGAAAAAGATTATAGACATTAGCACAACACTGGTGCACACATAACATTCAAATAAAGTGTAAAAATTGTAACATGTCAGTATGTAATAATAACGCTATGTTAACATTTTGTGTAATTTATTGTGTATATTTCTTGAGCTACAACCCAATTTTGTTAATCGAGAAGAAGAAGAAGAAGAAGAAGAAGAAGAAGAAGGGGTGAACACAGTAAATGCTGAGATGATCACCTACATGTGCCCTGGAGGGGACGGGCCTGTAAAACCCTTTTTAGAAAAGATGAGCAGGGCATATGAGTACATTATTAAAAGTAAGGCAAACATCTGTTTTTATGATTTATGCTTTGGGATGTGCTGTCATTGTGAGTAATATTTATATATATATTATTTCAGATTCTCAAAGGATGCAATTGCCAGAAGCTCCCAGCCCATCTCCAACTCCACAGTCTACCACCTCTCCCTCCCAACCCTCTTCTCCTACTCATCCTCCAGACCCTTCCACCTTTCTCCCATCTACTTCTCATCCCCAAATGGACTATGAGGAGGAGACTTACACCCTAACCCTCATCCCTGTCCAGCCTCCAAGCACCGCCTCAGCATCTCTCCCTCAAAACACCATGACTGAAAGTGAGTATTAGCATTAATCACCATTTATATATATATATTTTTTTTTTTTTTGGGGGCTTTTTATTGCCTTTATTATAGTGACAGCTGAAGACAGACAGGAGAGGGGGCAGAGAGAGAGGATGACACGCAGCAAAGTACCCTGGGCCGCTGCAGCAAGCGTCGGTAAATGGGCCGCCAGCTCTACTCACTGAGCTATTCGGGCGCCCAGAATTAATCACCTTTGCCATGTTTTAAGTAATGTGTCTAAAGTCATCCACCTTTGTCACAGGTGTGTCTGCACAATGCTAACCAATGCATGCAATTCCTTGACAGCCGCATGATCATATTTTTTGTGTGCATGTAGACACAATAAACCAGACACATGCAGAGCGATGCAAACTGTTTTTTTCCCTTAATACCTCTTATTATCAGAAATGTGAGGGACCTAGCAGTTAGGCAAGAGGAGTCACAAGAGAATTTTAAAAGAAAAAGTTTTCATTTGACCAAAAAAAGATGTTTGCAACAAAATGTATGTGTCTGAAACGGTATATAAACCAATCTTAAGGAAAAACAGCATGAACTAAGGAAAGTGTAAGTGTACGAGGTTACCGCTTTTGAGATGGCTGTGTGGCCATGGCTGTGGCCATCACAAGTAACAATAAAAATTACTCACACTAAAGATTACTCACTTACTTGTCCTCCTCTACATGTATAAGAGACATAAGTAGCTACGCTACTTATAACAGAGGATATGAAGCTATGTTCTTGACAAGTCTGTACTTCTACTAAGTCAATTGACCACAGCATGGTGTTGTCATTTTTGAGTGAATAAAAAAAACTGTGGTAACTATTAATGATAGATTGGCTATTTAAAAATCTAGGCTTTATGCAAGACGTCAACTGTCGTGTGACTAATGAGTGGTTTGCAGTAATGTCACACCACCTTTTTGTATCAGCTCAGCTAGCTTTGGACCTTCACCAAGGTGTACCAGGTACTAGACGCAATAAAAATCAAAGAACAGTAAATAGGTGAGATATCATGATCAAGAAGGTGGTTCACCCAGGACGAAGCTCAGCGATTGCTTCGGTTGTGCTGACACCTGTGAATTCCCCAAATGTGGGAATCTTGATACCGGAAATGCAGCTGTATTCACCTGGGGGATGTCAAAGTCTGTTTCTAAATTGCTTCTCCTTTCTTCTTTTCTTCTTTTGTTTTGCATAATTTTAGGCTGCCAAAAATGTTCTAAGCATAAAATATTTCACTACAATGAAATCAAAGAGAAACAACTCAAGTACGTAAGATGTAACTGACTGAGTGAAATAGCAGTTCATTTAGCAGTGGTTGCTGGAATGGCTAACACTTCTTTTTGTCTGTGTTTGTCTGTTTCTGTGTGTGTGTGCAGGGAAGAGAAGAGGTAAAAGTGAGCTGGCTGCCTTGTTCCTCATGGTAAGAGCTCAGAACTTTGATTCACATTAACTGATTTTAAAGCTGTTAGCTTTTTTTACAGTATGCTTTTTAAATATACACTACTTACAAAAAGTTAGGGATATTCGGCTTTCGGAGGAAATTTCAGAATGTACATTAAATGCACTATAACCTTTCCAGGTGATCCTAATTTGACCTTCGCTAGACTATCTTTAAGAAGATAAGTCTGTGTGGAAAGGACTGTTCAAACGGAAGCCAAACAAAAAAGAGGCTGAAGAAAAGGGTTTGGATGAGACTGACAAGTCAGACAGCAATCTCCTATTGCCTCAATGTGCACCACTGAGGACATAGAGGGTCCAGCAAAAGCAGACCTGAGCTCTGTCCCTCTGGAGTTGGTGAATGTGGAGGTAAATGATGACGAGGTCATGAGGAACTACATCATCAGAGAAATTGACGCAGGACTAGGAACCTCCCTGAACATCGGGACTGCTTCAAAAGCAGACCTGAACTCTGTCCCTTTTGAACTTCTGGACGTGGAGGAAAATGAGATCGTACCAGAAGATAAACTAGATCATAAATCCACCAGCAGCTCGTCTCCACCACACCTTCACAGTGAGAGGTCTTCAGTTGCAGAGGAAGACCTACGTTTTGTCCCTCTGGAGATGGAGGACCCCTCTGCATCACGACGGACAACGTGTTACATATGGTGCTGGCTGCACGGCTTAATGAATGGAGGAGGCTCCAGTGTTTTGGGCACAGATTACATCTTGCCATTGGTAAGTTATCATGTCGTGTGTGTGTGTGTGTGTGTGTGTGTGTGTGAGAGAGATAGAGAGGACAGGGGTGTGGATGTGTGTATTTCAGAATTACAGAGAATGTGAGTGTATAATAGTGATAGCCTTGTATCACAAAACTCAAATTGTGTGTAATACACTACTTTTTATTTCTTTCAGAAAATGCACTCAAGGATGACAGAGTGTCAAGGGCAACAGCACTGTGCAGGAAGCTGGTGGGGCACTTATCCCACAGTTGGAAGAAGAAGGCAGCACTGACGGAGGCACAGAGGAAGCTCAAACTCCCTGAGCACAACCTCATAACTGAGTGCTCAATAAGATGGGGATCTAAAGAAATGATGATTGCCAGAGTGCTTGAATAGGTCAAAGCCATTTCTCAGGTATTGTCATGTGATCGATATGCACGCTCCCTCATCCCAACCTGGCAGGATATTGATGTGTTGGAGTCAATTCACAAGGCACTGCATCCTCTACTGGAATTTACTGATGCTCTTTCAGGAGAAGAGGTCTCATACTGAAACTGTTCAGATGCCTCAAAGTGCACAGCCCTTGGGGGAAAAGGCGAAGAGGTCTCTTGGCAGTTTTTTCAAGACCAGTGCAGCCTCTCCTTCTTTGCCTGTAAAACTTGAAGATGTCGCAGATGCAGAGGTAAACAATTACCTGATGACTCCTGCCATAGATGGAGAAGATGATCCCTTGGCTTGGTGGAGGGTGCACAAGATCAGCTACCCACAGTTGTGCGCCATGGCCCGCAAGTATCTTTGTGTACCTGCCACAAGCGCTTCCTCAGAGCGTCTTTTTAGCACAGGAGGGAATATTGTGATTTGCCCTCGCTCATCCTTGAAGCCAGCAAAAGTCAATATGCTGGTTTTCTTAGCAAGAAACCTGTGAGCCACTGAGAACAAAACTGTACGATCATTATGGCTGGCAGTGCCATACTCATAGTGAACTCTAGTCTGTGTGGGGTGTTATTGTTGTGTACTTGAGATAAGTGAGGTTGATCTATATTATAATATTCAAATTGTTTTTTTATTGTCTAATTTAAAAGTGCATTTCTCCGTTTTTTATTTATAACTTTATTTATTTCGATTTTACAAAATATTTTCAAAGTAGTAGAGGCAAATTTTGTTTCGTTGTCTGAAATTTTTTCTGACTTGGGAGCAGTAAGATGCATATAATTTTAAATTATTTTTTTCTTAAGACTGCAAAATTTGGAAAAGTGTTTACTAAGTGCATGCCTCTGTTTAAATCACTTAAATGCACAGTGGCAAAGCCACAGATGTTTCTGTAATGAGTAGTTAAATAAGTCATACATCTTTTAAATTTAATTCTAATAGGCCCAGGATATGGGAAAGAAAATTTTACACTACATGTATCTAATATTGTGCGGGTCATATTTAAATCATTCATTATGTTTTGTTGGGAAAAAAACTACTTCAAAAGCAGACCTGAAATCTGTCCTTTTGGAACTTCTGGACGTGGAGAATGAGGAGATCCTACCAGAAGATCAACAAGATCAAAAATCCACCAGCAGCTCGTCCCCACCACACCTTCACAGAAAGAGGTTTCCAGTGGCAGAGAAAGACCTGAGCTCTGTTCCTCTGGAGTTTACAGATATGGACACAAACACAATCTACACCTTGATCATGTGTTTTTTGGACAGCCTTACCAAAGAGTATGTATCTATTTTTCTCACTAAAATTCCAAGTTAGCACTTCAATACATGTTTGACATTTGTTGTAAACATTTTTGTAACCTTTGTTTTATTGTTCTTTTGTTTTTAAGGCAGCGGACAGAACTACGCAAATGTCATTACAGCATGAACATGAAAAAACAAGATTGCTGACGTGACTGCAGAGGTGTTTATGCACATTACACAGGCAGTCAGTCACAACATTGACAAGTGTTCAATCGGCGGTGAATTGGTGGACACAGCCGGAGGATTAACACCCAAACTCAATGGAGACAATTGAAAAAATTAGAAACTCTGTTCTGTCAGAGATACAACAGGCATGCCTGTTGTCACTAAGAAGAGGTGGTTTGGCAAATTGCATAAAAATAAGGTTAATCCCATTTCAGATGTATCAGATAACAATAGCGCTGCTTCTCTGAAATTTGTTGATCAGAACGCCACACCAAAAAATCAACGTGTGGACGAGAATGACTCTGTTGAAGAGAATCCATCAGTTCTGCTGCTGTTCGAGCTGCAGTGATGTAAATTCTCTCAACCCCCTTCCTCCAAGCCCAGCTTCTGAAGTCCCAGCAAGAACAGTTAGCGATTCATGCCTGAAGACACCAGCCAAAATTGGTGATAATCATTAATGGGCCGCAAATTATTTTGATTTTTTAAAGCTTGGGAATTTTACTTTAAGATGTTTAGCACATTTAAATGAGGCACCTCAGCTGAGCCTTTAGTTTGCTTTGCCCTTGCCTTTGCTTTACTTTTTCTTTGCTTTACCTTAACTTGTCTTTGTTTGCCTTTGCTTTCCTTTTTCCTTCCCTTTCCCTTTGCTTTGCCTTGCCCTTCTTTTGCTCTAGTCATTCCCCTTAACCTTTACCTTGCTTTGGCTTTGCTTTGCTTTTCTTTGCCTTGCTTTGCCTTTGCCTTTGCATGCCTTTTCTTTCCTTTGACTTAAACACAGCCAGCCTGTTATACCTGCTATCCCTTGCCCCCTTCCTTTACCCCTCTCCACTCTCGCTACACCAATTTCAACCTATGCATCCCATACCCCTTTATTCTCCCTCTCCCTTTCTCTCACAACCCAACCAGTTGAGGCAGATGGCTGCCCACCCAGAGCCTGGTTCTGCTCAAGGTTTCTTTCTGTTAAAAGGGAGTTTTTACTTGCCACTGTCACCGGATGTTTGCTCATGGTGGGAATTGTTGGATCATTGGATTATTAAACAGTACAGTCTATTATATATATATTTAAAGTGTCATGAGCTGATCTCTGTTATGATTTAGCTCTATATAAATAAAAAGTTCAAACTTTACATTGAAATAAACTGATTCACACCATTTTTTTCAGTTAAGCTGTACACAGAACAAATGTGTCAGAAAAGTACTATGAAAGGCACAGAAAAGGTCCTTAAGGTGATAACTATGGACATTTGTTTCATTTTAAAGGTACAAAGTCATGGCTGTCAAGAAAGGGGTACACAATTATACTTTCAACAAGTTTAAGGTACAAGAAAATGCCACAGCAAATAAGAAATCACAAAATCTTTTTATTTTGGATTCAGATACTACTATCAGACCCTGAATAAATTTCACTTTTAGTACAACTGAACTCTGGTCTCATCTTGACTTATTTGTATTTTGATGAGGGAGATATAAACTTGGTTACTCAGACAAGAGCTTGTGCAGCTAACATCAGTTAAATTAGGCCCAGGGTGGCAGAAGCCAAAACCAACAATAAAAACACCTCTGTACTTCATTCCCTGTCATCAAACTGTCCTCAGATGCTGCATTTGGTCCCAGTTTTGCTGTGCTGTTCACTGGTAGCTCCAAGTCTCAGCAGTCAGCTAACAGGTCCACTACAGCTGCTGGACTGGGGGATGTAACATACAGAGCTATTTGCTACCGTCACAAGTTCCTCTCTAGCTGCCTGTTTTTACTGGAAATATGTAAATAAACCGGGACCCTTAATTTATGGGACAGAGATGACATCATTTATCAATAAATCTTTGGCACACCTGGCAGAGAGGCACTATCCATGCTGTTGCAAGGATATTTAATTAATGAAATTAATTCAGCATTGAACCTTTTGTTTGTTTTTTTGTGTCTGATCACATCCCCTGTGTGTCTGCATGAGGAAAGGACATGAGAGTGAAAATATTGTGATACTTGAATTAAATCTTTAAAAATGTATTAAAATATTGCAGAAAATGCAGTGGTTAAGTTCAAGTCGAGTTCAATTGCATTATTAAAGTCCATATTTATTCTACAAATCTTACTTTAACAGCTGCAAGAAGTAGCCTTACAGACTTTATAGTCTATATCAGTGTGCTGTGAGTTAACCCGAAGCCGCATGTACACATTTATCCTCCAGCATGTCGGGAGATTTAAATGATCAGTAAAGATGCTGCTGTGGCTCTCTCTTAATGGGGAGACACTTGCACCTGCAACCCATAATAAGTATAACATTTTAATTGTTATTGTATATTGTATATTATTGTAAGTGTGGTGTAAAAGAGACAATTAGGTTGATAGTTGGAAAAAAAAAAACATTTTTAAGAGTTTAAATTTTTGTCAGTACAAAAAAAGGATGGGACCCGTACGTCTGGTGTCCATATTTATCATGTCTAGTGCCATACTCCAGTATCTGGCTTAATAATGACAAAAAAAGTAATCCAGCACTGGACCAAAAGCACCTTTATCCGGAAGATCCAACAGTTTCTAAGTATATGTAAAGGTATCCAGACAATTGACAATATATATAGACCCAGATCTGTATATCATATCATACCACATAAAAATAAAATCTGTCAAAGGTCCATGTCTGTAATCATCTGGACATGACGGTATTTGGCCATATCCCAAAAGTATCACCACCTTGGATACTACCATATTCTGACAACTTTACTCTTTATTTCAAATAACTTTATCATTATTTATCACCAGGAAAAAAGGGCCAAGAAGGACATCGTGTACCTGCATTGTGACAACACAGACGTTTTATGAGAGATTGTGACAGAAATATTTTTGAGAAAGTGAAGTCTGCATGGAAGCTCTGGTTCAATTGAAAGCCAAGAAATAAAGTGGCTGAAGAACAGGATTTGGACGAGACTGAAAACCTGCTTCTCCATGTCCTGAAGAGACATCTCTCAATGTGTTCCAGTGAGTTGTGTAATTTGATTACACACTCTGTCCGGGCCCGCTGCTTTCCTTGGACGAAGCCTCCTCAGCTCTCTGCTCACCTGATCCTTGGTGATGGTGGTGGGGAGGGGGGTTGAACTGTCCATGGGTGTGGAGGGTGGCGGTGGTCTGCAGTCTGAGGTGGTGGAATTGGGGGGGGGGGGGGGGGGGGGGGGGGGGGGGGGGGGGGTGTTTGTTTTGGGGGGGGGAAAAAAAAAATTCCTTTCCTTTTTTTTTTTTTTTTTTATTTTTTATTATGTTTTATTCATAACATTATTGTGTATGGCACTTGTGAATGAATTATCAATTAAATAATTGATAATAAAGGAAATCCTTTGCAGGTCACCAGTGTCTATAGCTGTAAAAGGATGACAGCTCTTTGGCCAATGGCTGTCTTTTACAGCATGATTGACATATCCGCTTACTTCACTTTGTCAATTAGATTTTATTTGCCTCAGTTCGTGTGTTTTGCCTTCCATCTATTTTTTTTTCTTCATATACACATCTTATTTAAGTTACAGCTTACAGGCCATCCCCATGACAGTGTAGATTGAAAAAAACAAACAAGAAAAGGTTAAACACTAAATTAATTTGCCAGAATTAAATCTCCCTGCAATAACATGGATAGTGCCTCTCTGCCAGGCATGCCAAACATTTATTCATAAATTATGTCATCTCGACCCTGCAAATGAAGGGTCCCAGTTTGTTTGAAAATATGGTCACCCTAGTTACAAAAACACTTAAAGTCCTGGTGAAACCAAAATCAGAGAGCTGTTTGCTTCAGCACATTTACATATTTTCGGTACGAGATTCGGCTCAACACTAAGTACAGACTCAAGTCGTGGGTGGAGTGCGACGGAAAATCCAGCTACACCTGGAATATGCTGGCTTCACCTGTGACCCAATAAAAGATCAACTCTGTAATGTCAGATAGAAGAGGCACATCCTGTTGGCATTTGGATGTGGAGGATAATGATGTAACAGATCTAACATCAGGACCCTCCTGGATGTCAGGTGTGATAATTATGTCATGGAGGACCATATTGGCAGAGAAACAAATGCAGCACCAGGACCCTCTGAGCACGTCGCGCTGCTACAAAGCTAAAGGCTGTGTGGAAAGGCCTGTTCGGATGGAAGCCAAAAAATTAAGTGGGTGAACAGGAGGATTTGGAAGAGACTGTTAAGTCAGACAGCAGTGATTTTAAATCTAGGTCTCCTTGTCCTGAAGAGACAGTTTCCACTGCTTCAGTCACCTCCAGTGAGGACATAGAGGGTCCATCAAAAGCAGACCTGAGCTCTGTCCCTGGAGGATGTGGAGGAAAATGATGATGATGTCAGGAAGGACCACAACGTCAGAGACATTGATGCAGGACCAGGGAAAACCAAAAGTAGCTCATCCCCAACACCACAACCTAACAACGGTTTCAATTGCAGATGAAGACCTCATTTTTTTCCCTTTGGGGTGTGGGGAAGGAGAGGATAATAAATCTGTCTCTCTCTCAACAGGTCGCTGTCCCTTTCTCCACTACATGCCCAGCAAACCGGCCAAGTACGGGATAAAGTCGTGGGTGGCATGCTCAGAATCAGAATGCCACACCAAAAAAATCTAGCTATGTGGACACAGAATGACTCTGTTGAACAGAATCTGTCAAGGATGGGTGATTCCAGAAATGATTAAGATTGTCAATAAAAAACATAAATGTGCTCCAGTGAGGACATCAGGGGTTCAACAAAAGCAGACCTGAGCTCTGTCCCACTGAGTTGGTGGATGTGGAGGATAATGATGTAATGGAGGACAACCTCACATGCAGACTGGAGCCATGTATGGAGGAACAGCACCACTGAACCGGAGTGAAATTCGGCTTTGAGCGCCGGATCATGCAAAGTAGACTGCCAAAAGAGTGAGCCATGGATATGTGCCACTGACAGCTCAGTGTGGGGTTGGTGGAGATCCGCCAGACCCATACACAAGAGTAGTAAACATGCATGTGTGACATTTGTGGTTTTTCTCTATAACCTTTGTTTTACTGTTTTTCAACTACGCAAATGTGATGACAGCGTGAATGTCAAAGACAAGATCACATCACTGCACATAACCCTATGAGTTGATCCGCATGTACACATTTATCCTCCAGCATGTCGGGGTGATTTAAATATTAAGTAAACATGCTGTTGTGCCTTTATCCTACCCTTACCCATAATAAGTAAAACATTTTTGTTAGCGACAGAAACAGCCATATTTATCATGTCGTGAACTGGCTCAAAGTCAAGACAAGAAAGACCACACAGATAATAAAGGTTTTAAAGCAAAACAAATGTTTGTACACACATATTTGGGTATTTGCGTGGCCTACCAACCCAGACTGGGGAAAACACTGTATAAGTTAGTAGGTTAGATGTTGGTGATTATTTTTTTCATGATGCTTCTTGTGTAACTTTCTACGGACGTGCTAACGTTGTTTGAGCTAGTGTGAGAGAACTGTAGGAATGAATTTGTTTAGAAAGATTGTGTAGCTTTGACACAGCAGCTGTAGTGACCCGCTGGACTGTTTGTGAAGGCAAACCGCGACTGATCCACTCCGTTAGCATCATAGATCCACTCCGTTAGCATTATAGATCCTCTCCGTTAGCATTATAGATCCACTCAACCCCGTTAGCATTATAGATCCACTCCGTTAGCATTATAGATCCACTCCGTTAGCATTATGACTTCACTCCAAGAATCCACTCCGTTAGCATTATAGATCCACTCCGTTAGCATTATAGATCCACTCCGTTAGCATTAACCACTCCTTACATTATAACTCCTCTAATATAGTCCGCTGTCGGACTTTCTGTTGTAAAATTTAGGGACCGTCAGAAACTGTGTGACTGTGAAGTCTCGTCAGAAGCCAACAAAACACTGTGTAAGTTAGTATGTTGGATGTCAGTGATTATTTTTCGTGATGCTTCTTGTGTCCCAGATAACAAAAGACATTAATTCAATGTTGGATTTTGGTCAGATTGGTTATTTTTTGTTGAGGTTGAAAAATCTATGTTGATTCAATGTTTAATTATAGTTACCATTTCAACGTTTGAAAACCTGTCGTTGAATCAATGTAACAGGTTTTCAATCATCTTTACTATAGATGATGATTTTTCTATGTTGAAATGCCCTACAGTGGATCCACATCGTTTCAATGGTGCTGATGGGGTTAGGGGAGGAGAGGGGGAACAGGGGCTCCGGAGACCAGAGAGATCTCACGAGACCAGACAGATCTCACGGGACTTCAGCTCAAACTGTAGCGGGAATTTGGGCACAAAACAGCAGATAAACTTCTGTGTGAGACAAACTGGTAAGTTAAGTGCTTATGGAATATGATTTAAGCAGTGGTATGTCATTGCTTATTACAATGACAGAAACAAAATGTAATTGCATGTAAGCTTTAATTTACAAGCATTTAGTTCCTCTGTCAATACATGCAAACATATAAGTCATGTGATATGTGTTGAAACGTTACAGCTCTACTCCTGTCTTGTGTTCCCTTTTAGCCTCTGGAGGAAGCTACTCAGAGGATGTTCAGTCATTTGACCAGCCTGATGGTGAGTGAACTACTTCACATTACTACCTGAGAGGAGTGGCGGGGTACCAAGAAAAGAAAAGGCAAAGAGTTAGAAGGACAAATGAGTTGAATCTTTAAAGTTACTTTGCTCTTATGTTCAGTTCATGTTGAACTGGGGTCCTATTTATAATGTTTGTGTCCCCTGGATTTTCAGGGCAAAGGTAGCCAGATAATTCATTAAGATGTTTGTTCATGTTGAACTGTGGTCCTATTAGATCACACATCTAAAAGATTTCAAATTAACAGACGTGTCCGACAAGGCTGCCCTATATCTCCCTTTTTATTTCTTTTAGTCACTGAGTTATTGTCAATCAGTATAGTAAACAATGAGAAATTTGAAGGTATCTCAATTATTTGGCAGAGAATTAAAAATCTCCCAACTGGCAGATGAAACTACATTTTTAAAAAAAGACAAGAATCAACTCTCTATTACTCTAATTATCCAATTTTCAAACGCCTCAGGTTTAAGACTTAATATGTCCAAATGTCTGCCCGACACGGTATTGTTTATGGGCTAAACCTACATAGTACAGATGCTTACAGCTGTTAGCTCACAATGACAGTACTAAAGTTGTTCGCGGGTTCACATAACTTGACCCACTAGGTTGCATGTTTCTGATGGACGAGCTAGTCTGATGCCAAACATGTGTGAGAGGTCTGACAGGACCGTGTGCCACATGTTTGTTTGTTTACATCGCGTTGCGCTGCACATTATGAAACCAACATTTGGAATACCGCAGTCAAAACCCTGTCTTTCACTTTCTCTGTTGGGTCCGTGGAACGCAGTCAATACAACCAACCCTCTGACGTCGTAAGTCAGAGTGCTACAAGATGCCGGCGCCCTTGCCTCAAAAAAACAAACATGGACTCCTTTTTTCTCTAAAATGCTTACATTTGTCACTTTTATTTTACAATTATTGAGTAGAGGTTAAATCCATTTAGTAAACCAGCTTAACTTGGTTGACTGCTTCATATCCACTTTAACATAGCATTTGTTTCTCTCAATGCACAAGTGCTTCATCCCAGCGCTCCACAGAACCCTGTCCATAATTTTCTGTCAGAAAAAATGCTATATGTACACTTACAGTTCATTAGAAAATTCTCAATAAACCCTTGAAAAAGATTATAGACATTAGCACAACACTGGTGCACACATAACATTCAAATAAAGTGTAAAAATTGTAACATGTCAGTGTGTAATAATAACGCTATGTTAAAATTTTGTGTAATTTATTGTGTATATTTCTTGAGCTACAACCCAGTTTTGTTAATCGAGAAGAAGAAGAAGAAGAAGAAGAAGAAGAAGGGGGTGAACACAGTAAATGCTGAGATGATCACCTACATGTGCCCTGGAGGGGACGGGCCTGTAAAACCCTTTTTAGAAAAGATGAGCAGGGCATATGAGTACATTATTAAAAGTAAGGCAAACATCTGTTTTTATGATTTATGCTTTGGGATGTGCTGTCATTGTGAGTAATATTTATATATATATTATTTCAGATTCTCAAAGGATGCAATTGCCAGAAGCTCCCAGCCCATCTCCAACTCCACAGTCTACCACCTCTCCCTCCCAACCCTCTTCTCCTACTCATCCTCCAGACCCTTCCACCTTTCTCCCATCTACTTCTCATCCCCAAATGGACTATGAGGAGGAGACTTACACCCTAACCCTCATCCCTGTCCAGCCTCCAAGCACCGCCTCAGCATCTCTCCCTCAAAACACCATGACTGAAAGTGAGTATTAGCATTAATCACCATTTATATATATATATATTTTTTTTTTTTTTGGGGGGCTTTTTATTGCCTTTATTATAGTGACAGCTGAAGACAGACAGGAGAGGGGGGCAGAGAGAGAGGATGACACGCAGCAAAGGGCCGCGGGTTGGATTTGTACCCTGGGCCGCTGCAGCAAGGCGTCGGTAAATGGGCCGCCAGCTCTACTCACTGAGCTATTCGGGCGCCCAGAATTAATCACCTTTTGCCATGTTTTAAGTAATGTGTCTAAAGTCATCCACCTTTGTCACAGGTGTGTCTGCACAATGCTAACCAATGCATGCAATTCCTTGACAGCCGCATGATCATATTTTTTGTGTGCATGTAGACACAATAAACCAGACACATGCAGAGCGATGCAAACTGTTTTTTTTCCCTTAATACCTCTTATTATCAGAAATGTGAGGGACCTAGCAGTTAGGCAAGAGGAGTCACAAGAGAATTTTAAAAGAAAAAGTTTTCATTTGACCAAAAAAAAGATGTTTGCAACAAAATGTATGTGTCTGAAACGGTATATAAACCAATCTTAAGGAAAAACAGCATGAACTAAGGAAAGTGTAAGTGTACGAGGTTACCGCTTTTGAGATGGCTGTGTGGCCATGGCTGTGGCCATCACAAGTAACAATAAAAATTACTCACACTAAAGATTACTCACTTACTTGTCCTCCTCTACATGTATAAGAGACATAAGTAGCTACGCTACTCATAACAGAGGATATGAAGCTATGTTCTTGACAAGTCTGTACTTCTACTAAGTCAATTGACCACAGCATGGTGTTGTCATTTTTGAGTGAATAAAAAAAACTGTGGTAACTATTAATGATAGATTGGCTATTTAAAAATCTAGGCTTTATGCAAGACGTCAACTGTCGTGTGACTAATGAGTGGTTTGCAGTAATGTCACACCACCTTTTTGTATCAGCTCAGCTAGCTTTGGACCTTCACCAAGGTGTACCAGGTACTAGACGCAATAAAAATCAAAGAACAGTAAATAGGTGAGATATCATGATCAAGAAGGTGGTTCACCCAGGACGAAGCTCAGCGATTGCTTCGGTTGTGCTGACACCTGTGAATTCCCCAAATGTGGGAATCTTGATACCGGAAATGCAGCTGTATTCACCTGGGGGATGTCAAAGTCTGTTTCTAAATTGCTTCTCCTTTCTTCTTTTCTTCTTTTGTTTTGCATAATTTTAGGCTGCCAAAAATGTTCTAAGCATAAAATATTTCACTACAATGAAATCAAAGAGAAACAACTCAAGTACGTAAGATGTAACTGACTGAGTGAAATAGCAGTTCATTTAGCAGTGGTTGCTGGAATGGCTAACACTTCTTTTTGTCTGTGTTTGTCTGTTTCTGTGTGTGTGTGCAGGGAAGAGAAGAGGTAAAAGTGAGCTGGCTGCCTTGTTCCTCATGGTAAGAGCTCAGAACTTTGATTCACATTAACTGATTTTAAAGCTGTTAGCTTTTTTTTACAGTATGCTTTTTAAATATACACTACTTACAAAAAGTTAGGGATATTCGGCTTTCGGAGGAAATTTCAGAATGTACATTAAATGCACTATAACCTTTCCAGGTGATCCTAATTTGACCTTCGCTAGACTATCTTTAAGAAGATAAGTCTGTGTGGAAAGGACTGTTCAAACGGAAGCCAAACAAAAAAGAGGCTGAAGAAAAGGGTTTGGATGAGACTGACAAGTCAGACAGCAATCTCCTATTGCCTCAATGTGCACCACTGAGGACATAGAGGGTCCAGCAAAAGCAGACCTGAGCTCTGTCCCTCTGGAGTTGGTGAATGTGGAGGTAAATGATGACGAGGTCATGAGGAACTACATCATCAGAGAAATTGACGCAGGACTAGGAACCTCCCTGAACATCGGGACTGCTTCAAAAGCAGACCTGAACTCTGTCCCTTTTGAACTTCTGGACGTGGAGGAAAATGAGATCGTACCAGAAGATAAACTAGATCATAAATCCACCAGCAGCTCGTCTCCACCACACCTTCACAGTGAGAGGTCTTCAGTTGCAGAGGAAGACCTACGTTTTGTCCCTCTGGAGATGGAGGACCCCTCTGCATCACGACGGACAACGTGTTACATATGGTGCTGGCTGCACGGCTTAATGAATGGAGGAGGCTCCAGTGTTTTGGGCACAGATTACATCTTGCCATTGGTAAGTTATCATGTCGTGTGTGTGTGTGTGTGTGTGAGAGAGATAGAGAGGACAGGGGTGTGGATGTGTGTATTTCAGAATTACAGAGAATGTGAGTGTATAATAGTGATAGCCTTGTATCACAAAACTCAAATTGTGTGTAATACACTACTTTTTATTTCTTTCAGAAAATGCACTCAAGGATGACAGAGTGTCAAGGGCAACAGCACTGTGCAGGAAGCTGGTGGGGCACTTATCCCACAGTTGGAAGAAGAAGGCAGCACTGACGGAGGCACAGAGGAAGCTCAAACTCCCTGAGCACAACCTCATAACTGAGTGCTCAATAAGATGGGGATCTAAAGAAATGATGATTGCCAGAGTGCTTGAATAGGTCAGTGCCATACTCATAGTGAACTCTAGTCTGTGTGGGGTGTTATTGTTGTGTACTTGAGATAAGTGAGGTTGATCTATATTATAATATTCAAATTGTTTTTTTATTGTCTAATTTAAAAGTGCATTTCTCCGTTTTTTATTTATAACTTTATTTATTTCGATTTTACAAAATATTTTCAAAGTAGTAGAGGCAAATTTTGTTTCGTTGTCTGAAATTTTTTCTGACTTGGGAGCAGTAAGATGCATATAATTTTAAATTATTTTTTTCTTAAGACTGCAAAATTTGGAAAAGTGTTTACTAAGTGCATGCCTCTGTTTAAATCACTTAAATGCACAGTGGCAAAGCCACAGATGTTTCTGTAATGAGTAGTTAAATAAGTCATACATCTTTTAAATTTAATTCTAATAGGCCCAGGATATGGGAAAGAAAATTTTACACTACATGTATCTAATATTGTGCGGGTCATATTTAAATCATTCATTATGTTTTGTTGGGAAAAAAACTACTTCAAAAGCAGACCTGAAATCTGTCCTTTTGGAACTTCTGGACGTGGAGAATGAGGAGATCCTACCAGAAGATCAACAAGATCAAAAATCCACCAGCAGCTCGTCCCCACCACACCTTCACAGAAAGAGGTTTCCAGTGGCAGAGAAAGACCTGAGCTCTGTTCCTCTGGAGTTTACAGATATGGACACAAACAAAATCTACACCTTGATCATGTGTTTTTTGGACAGCCTTACCAAAGAGTATGTATCTATTTTTCTCACTAAAATTCCAAGTTAGCACTTCAATACATGTTTGACATTTGTTGTAAACATTTTTGTAACCTTTGTTTTATTGTTCTTTTGTTTTTAAGGCAGCGGACAGAACTACGCAAATGTCATTACAGCATGAACATGAAAAAACAAGATTGCTGACGTGACTGCAGAGGTGTTTATGCACATTACACAGGCAGTCAGTCACAACATTGACAAGTGTTCAATCGGCGGTGAATTGGTGGACACAGCCGGAGGATTAACACCCAAACTCAATGGAGACAATTGAAAAAATTAGAAACTCTGTTCTGTCAGAGATACAACCTGCCTGTTGTCACTAAGAAGAGGTGGTTTGGCAAATTGCATAAAAATAAGGTTAATCCCATTTCAGATGTATCAGATAACAATAGCGCTGCTTCTCTGAAATTTGTTGATCAGAACGCCACACCAAAAAATCAACGTGGGGACGAGAATGACTCTGTTGAAGAGAATCCATCAGTTCTGCTGCAGTTCGAGCTGCAGTGATGTAAATTCTCTCAACCCCCTTCCTCCAAGCCCAGCTTCTGAAGTCCCAGCAAGAACAGTTAGCGATTCATGCCTGAAGACACCAGCCAAAATTGGTGATAATCATTAATGGGCCGCAAATTATTTTGATTTTTTAAAGCTTGGGAATTTTACTTTAAGATGTTTAGCACATTTAAATGAGGCACCTCAGCTGAGCCTTTAGTTTGCTTTGCCCTTGCCTTTGCTTTACTTTTTCTTTGCTTTACCTTAACTTGTCTTTGTTTGCCTTTGCTTTCCTTTTTCCTTCCCTTTCCCTTTGCTTTGCCTTGCCCTTCTTTTGCTCTAGTCATTCCCCTTAACCTTTACCTTGCTTTGGCTTTGCTTTGCTTTTCTTTGCCTTGCTTTGCCTTTGCCTTTGCATGCCTTTTCTTTCCTTTGACTTAAACACAGCCAGCCTGTTATACCTGCTATCCCTTGCCCCCCTTCCTTTACCCCTCTCCACTCTCGCTACACCAATTTCAACCTATGCATCCCATACCCCTTTATTCTCCCTCTCCCTTTCTCTCACAACCCAACCAGTTGAGGCAGATGGCTGCCCACCCAGAGCCTGGTTCTGCTCAAGGTTTCTTTCTGTTAAAAGGGAGTTTTTACTTGCCACTGTCACCGGATGTTTGCTCATGGTGGGAATTGTTGGATCATTGGATTATTAAACAGTACAGTCTATTATATATATATTTAAAGTGTCATGAGCTGATCTCTGTTATGATTTAGCTCTATATAAATAAAAAGTTCAAACTTTACATTGAAATAAACTGATTCACACCATTTTTTTCAGTTAAGCTGTACACAGAACAAATGTGTCAGAAAAGTACTATGAAAGGCACAGAAAAGGTCCTTAAGGTGATAACTATGGACATTTGTTTCATTTTAAAGGTACAAAGTCATGGCTGTCAAGAAAGGGGTACACAATTATACTTTCAACAAGTTTAAGGTACAAGAAAATGCCACAGCAAATAAGAAATCACAAAATCTTTTTATTTTGGATTCAGATACTACTATCAGACCCTGAATAAATTCCACTTTTAGTACAACTTAACTCTGGTCTCATCTTGACTTATTTGTATTTTGATGAGGCAGATATAAACTTGGTTACTCAGACATGAGCTCGTGCAGCTAATGTCAGCTAAATTAGGCCCAGGGTGGCAGAAGCAAAACCAACAATAAAAACACCTCTGTACTTTATTCCCCGTCATCAAACTGTCCTCAGATGCTGCATTTGGTCCCAGTTTTGCTGTGCTGTTCACTGGTAGCTCCAAGTCTCAGCAGTCAGCTAACAGGTCCACTACAGCTGCTGGACTGGGGGATGTAACATACAGCGCAATTGGCTACCGTCACAAGTTCCTCTCTAGCTGCCTGTTTTTACTGGAAATATGTAAATAAACCGGGACCCTTAATTTATGGGACAGAGATGACATCATTTATCAATAAATCTTTGGCACACCTGGCAGAGAGGCACTATCCATGCTGTTGCAAGGATATTTAATTAATGAAATTAATTCAGCATTGAACCTTTTGTTTGTTTTTTGTGTCTGATCACATCCCCTGTGTGTCTGCATGAGGAAAGGACATGAGAGTGAAAATATTGTGATACTTGAATTAAATCTTTTAAAATGTATTAAAATATAGCAGAAAATGCAGTGGTTAAGTTCAAGTCGAGTTCAATTGCATTATTAAAGTCCATATTTATTCTACAAATCTTACTTTAACAGCTGCAAGAAGTAGCCTTACAGACTTTATAGTCTATATCAGTGTGCTGTGAGTTAACCCGAAGCCGCATGTACACATTTATCCTCCAGCATGTCGGGAGATTTAAATGATCAGTAAAGATGCTGCTGTGGCTCGTGCGGGGGCAAAGCCTCTTAATGGGGAGACACTTGCACCTGCAACCCATAATAAGTATAACATTTTAATTGTTATTGTATATTGTATATTATTGTAAGTGTGGTGTAAAAGAGACAATTAGGTTGATAGTTGGAAAAAAAAAACATTTTTAAGAGTTTAAATTTTTGTCAGTACCCTGGACACTTTTTAAAAAAAAGGATGGGACCCGTACGTCTGGTGTCCATATTTATCATGTCTAGTGCCATAGTCCAGTATCTGGCTTAATAATGACAAAAAAAGTATTCCGGCACTGGACCAAAAGCACCTTTATCCGGAAGATCCAACAGTTTCTAAGTATATGTAAAGGTATCCAGACAATTGACAATATATATAGACCCAGATCTGTATATCATATCATACCACATAAAAATAAAATCTGTCAAAGGTCCATGTCTGTAATCATCTGGACATGACGGTATTTGGCCATATCCCAAAAGTATCACCACCTTGGATACTACCATATTCTGACAACTTTACTCTTTATTTCAAATAACTTTATCATTATTTATCACCAGGAAAAAAGGGCCAAGAAGGACATCGTGTACCTGCATTGTGACAACACAGACGTTTTATGAGAGATTGTGACAGAAATATTTTTGAGAAAGTGAAGTCTGCATGGAAGCTCTGGTTCAATTGAAAGCCAAGAAATAAAGTGGCTGAAGAACAGGATTTGGACGAGACTGAAAACCTGCTTCTCCATGTCCTGAAGAGACATCTCTCAATGTGTTCCAGTGAGTTGTGTAATTTGATTACACACTCTGTCCGGGCCCGCTGCTTTCCTTGGACGAAGCCTCCTCAGCTCTCTGCTCACCTGATCCTTGGTGATGGTGGTGGGGAGGGGGGTTGAACTGTCCATGGGTGTGGAGGGTGGCGGTGGTCTGCAGTCTGAGGTCGTGGAATTTTTTTTGGGGGGGAAAAAAACCCTTTTTTTTTATTATATTATTATTATTTTTATTCATAACATTATTGTGTATGGCACTTGTGAATGAATTATCAATTAAATAATTGATAATAAAGGAAATCCTTTGCAGGTCACCAGTGTCTATAGCTGTAAAAGGATGACAGCTCTTTGGCCAATGGCTGTCTTTTACAGCATGATTGACATATCCGCTTACATCACTTTGTCAATTAGATTTTATTTGCCTCAGTTTGTGTGTTTTGCCTTCCATCAACTTTTTTTTCTTCATATACACATCTTATTTAAGTTACAGCTTACAGGCCATCCCCATGACAGTGGAGATTGAAAAAACAAACAAGAAAAGGTTAAACACTAAATTAATTTGCCAGAATTAAATCTCCCTGCAATAACATGGATAGTGCCTCTCTGCCAGGCATGCCAAACATTTATTCATAAATTATGTCATCTCGACCCTGCAAATTAAGGGTCCCAGTTTGTTTGAAAATATGGTCACCCTAGTTACAAAAACACTTAAAGTCCTGGTGAAACCAAAATCAGAGAGCTGTTTGCTTCAGCACATTTACATATTTTCTGTACGAGATTCGGCTCAACACTAAGTACAGACTCAAGTCGTGGGTGGAGTGCGATGGAAAATCCAGCTACACCTGGAATATGCTGGCTTCACCTGTGACCCAATAAAAGATCAACTCTGTAATGTCAGATAGAAGAGGCACATCCTGTTGGCATTTGGATGTGGAGGATAATGATGTAATAGACAACAGATCTAACATCAGGACCCTCCTGGATGTCAGGTGTGATAATTATGTCATGGAGGACCATATTGGCAAAGAAACAAATGCAGCACCAGGACCCTCTGAGCACGTCAGCGCTGCTACAAAGCTAAAGGCTGTGTGGAAAGGCCTGTTCGGATGGAAGCCAAAAAATTAAGTGGGTGAACAGGAGGATTTGGAAGAGACTGTTAAGTCAGACAGCAGTGATTTTAAATCTAGGTCTCCTTGTCCTGAAGAGACAGTTTCCACTGCTTCAGTCACCTCCAGTGAGGACATAGAGGGTCCATCAAAAGCAGACCTGAGCTCTGTCCCTGGAGGATGTGGAGGAAAATGACGATGATGTCAGGAAGGACCACAACCTTTGTAGGATAATAAATCTTCTCTCTCTCAACAGGTCGCTGTCCCTTTCTCCACTACATGCCCAGCAAACCGGCCAAGTAGGGATAAAGTCGTGGGTGGCATGCTCAGAATCAGAATGCCACACCAAAAAAATCTAGCTATGTGGACACAGAATGACTCTGTTGAACAGAATCTGTCAAGGATGGGTGATTCCAGAAATGATTAAGATTGTCAATAAAAAACATAAATGTGCTCCAGTGAGGACATCAGGGGTTCAACAAAAGCAGACCTGAGCTCTGTCCCACTGAGTTGGTGGATGTGGAGGATAATGATGTAATGGAGGACAACCTCACATGCAGACTGGAGCCATGTATGGAGGAACAGCACCACTGAACCGGAGTGAAATTCGGCTTTGAGCGCCGGATCATGCAAAGTAGACTGCCAAAAGAGTGAGCCATGGATATG